ATTAATAACCAAATCACTCTTTAACAAATTAACTGAAACATAAATATTGGTACATATAAATTTCAACTTTAATTCAAACAGTTCATATACTTTAATCTTTTTAAGTGAGAAAATAATGTCATGATACATCAATGACCCTGATGATTAGCAAGAAAAATCCACTTCGATCCGAGGGATAACATTTAACATATTTTTTTAGTTTAAGAACTTGATTTAAGTATTTGTTACTACACATCTTGTAGCTATTTTTTGAAAATGTCAAATAATGACAAAACACTTGTACGATGGCATGGTTACCATGCTTTCCAATATACCCCCTGGTTTAAAGGGAATCCTTGGAAATGATATGCATCTTTTATGGAATATGTAGTAGGAAAAATAAAATCCGCCCAGGCTACATTCAAAAATTGCTTTCAATGGATCTTCTAAGCAGTAGGGCGCACACATTCTAAACCACTGAAGACATTTACCATGCTTACCTATCAGCTACCCTATGTAGAGTCGACGCTTACTGCACGGCTGTGGGAGCCCTTATATCCCTGGGAACTTAGATACCAAAAAACTACTAAAGAGAGGAAGTAAAATAATGATGGTGTTTAGAAGGTGTTTGTGGGACGTTTATAACTGACTTTTATAGAATCCTTCATACTCTTATGACCACCCTAGTTTTGTGATCGGTTTCATATTTTGTGAGTTTTCACATAATTCTACGGATAATTAGAAAGTAACAACTGTGACCAATATCAATCTATAAGATTAAAATGGCCTCTTTCTGGGAATTAGCCACATAAAAACTAGATAGTAAATGCTGATAGAAAAATGGGGTTGATGTAAAGAGCACCTACAAACATAAAAAGAAGTTCCATACAGTTTATAGTGGCATTAATCGATCAATGCACGAAATTACAGAAATATGCACCACTGATGAAAATATCAAACCAAAAACGCAAAAATGTACTATCAACGATGGACAGGAATTTCTGTTATTGGCCATTCACGGGAATCTTTTTATGCATGGTTTTGCTTTAATATGCTATGTAAGTTTCATCGTTAATCACACGGAAGAATGTAAATTTTTACAAGGAAGATACCTTATGATTTTTCTCGAATTGTCCGTCTCTCACAGACCTCTTACCAATGGTTGTACACGCTTGATAATAATGATTTACGGGTGTATATTTGAAGATATGAGCATTGTTCTTTTTACCAAACTAAAAGCTAGTTACAGCTTCAAACTCAGATTCATTTAGTAGTTTAATAGTTCTTATCTTACAATGGGTCTTAGATTGTGGCTAACAATTCTACAAACCAGGTCATATTTCACTAAATACGGGCCAGTGGCTAAAGCGCATAAAACGGATCGTTTGGCCTTGTCACCTTTATAGTGTGTCCGATTTTAAAACATCAGATAACATTGCCAACGTAGACACCAAAAAAACAAAAGGAATTTAAGACGTTTTTTAACAAAACTTATGACGTAACATATACAGTGAACGTTTAAAGAGATGGAAGACCACACAATAAAATAATATTCTGAACTGTTTTCTGTTACATTCTATAGACCAATAACACTGTCAGACACTAAAAAACATGTACATAAAAATATTGAGAAAATTAGAGCAAGAATCTTAACTTCATCAAAAGGTCGAGAGAATCTGTAACAGATCGTCTTTTAATGAGGCACCACCGACTGCGAACCTGACTGTGCTGGTGATATTCTAGCCGAACTTTAGACATAGTTTGACTCTGATAGTAAACTAACTTTAAATTGGTTAAATGAAGAGCCTATGAAAATTTTTATGTCTAGTATTTATCATGTAAAATCTTTATAGCAAAGTCTCACCATACACTATACGTGTTTTAAAACGCAATTTTATGATAGTAGAATTTCGCATAAACACACAATATAGTCAATTTATACGCTATGGCTCTATTATAACTTAATATATCAGTTTTTACTCATTTCTTTATAAAGTTACCCTAAGAACAACATGGAAATAGCCATGGATGATCATCTTTTATATATTTCACTCTTTTCTCTGTGTTTTCCCTTTGGAGTAATTGTCGAATATAACCAGCCTGGAATCGTTTTAAATTGTGGTGTTAACTACAATCCGCCATGATCTACCTTGAATTCAGGTAAGAGATATTGTATATAAATAATTACAGGAGATGAAAGAGAAATGGTTTTCAATGAAGATTAAAATTATCTTTTATAGAAATAAATTGTCTTAAAACAGAATTAAACGTCAAGTGTGCAAGTTTCACGATGAGTAATGCCCCCTTATCATTCAATTTGAGTTTCCGTTACTCTTCACCATATTATGTCAGATAATGTGAATGTAACATATATAGATTCTATCTTTTATTGACAATTATAGTTTTGAACCCTAATTTACACAAGATTACCTTGTACACGTGTTTAAGAATTCAGTGTCAAGTTCAGCGTTTTAAATTTTTCGATATTCAAATTATCTGAATGAACAGGTCATTGCGAAGGGTGATTTATTTAATTGTTCAAAAAATTTTCGAAGAAACATATTATGAACCAAATAACTTTCATCGGGTCAAGGACATCACGTTCTCAAAAACAGGTTTTCGCTTTATAGCCGCCATAATTGTCTCTAATATGAAAAAAAAGAATTATCGCTTCGCACGAATTGGTAAGGTAAATCGGTTTCAAGTAGTCTTACTTTTATCATTCAGCACACGGGGACAAACATAGATGGAGAAAAAATGACCTTAATGCAAAGTAAACAGTAAATAAAAACCATGCATTATTACATTGTATAATATAAAAATGTGTATGAGATTAAGTTACAGTGATCAATAACGAAAACTTTTCAAATTCATACACCAAAAAATTAGTAAAAGTAGGTTATTATCTGTAAAAAGCAGCACAAAACGAACGTCATTGAGAATATCAAGGAAATAAAATATTAATGCTTAAAAATTGAGACAGGTGCAAAAATATAATGAAATGGTGTTGATCATCATAATTACAGTATTGAAATTTTTACAAAAAAAAATCTGACAACAATTGTGGCATATATTGCATTCACAAGCCACGTTTAATGTATTTTCAATATATAAATGGCTGTAACTCTGTAAAAATTTGTCAAAACGTATTCAAATTCAAACTTGACCGAGATCATCTGACAACAATTATGGCCTCTATCGCGTTCACAGGTGCAGTTGTTTAAGGGATGAAACTCTGTCAATACTTGTCAATTCGTATCAAACTTCGAGACCTACAAAAAACCTGAAAACCGCTCGCGTTTACAAGTCAGTTTTAAGGCATTTTCATAATATCGAGGATTGCATCTAAATTTTATGAGGTTCTGCAGCACAATCACAACAATTCTAATCTCGATCGGTGTATGAAAGTCCCACGATCTTGATTGAGTCATTTTCACTCGTAAGCCTAGTCGAGTAATCAGATCAATGCAAATAGGTTTGGCCAAGGCCCCGCTGATAAAAAGGTTCCCTTGAAAACCTACGTCGTTATCCTTATAAAGTAAAGTTTTTCTGACAAAAACTATCGCCCCTGCCTCTCACGTTCAGTATGCACTTTAATTGTATTTTCAGTACATTGAGGGTTAAACGGCGTCGATATTTTCCGAATCTTACTTGTACACGTTCTTGTGAATATAAACCTCGAACCAAAGTTTTAAAAATTCTAACAACAATATGCATCTAGCACGTTTTAAGGCA